CCAAGGTCATCCAGTCAGGTGCAAGTGGAGGAGTGGGGAATCAAACCCAGTTCTCCCAGTTTAGAGTCCACGCACTTAACCACTACACCAAACTGGCTCTGAGTTCAACACCTCTGAGTTCAAACTGAGTTTGACACCTCTGCTCTAACCACTGCTCTATACTGCCCCTTTGCTTGATCGGTAGGGCTACCATTCTGAAAAGCAGCATTACCACATCCACTGTTTGCAATGACATGCAGAGGGAAATGAATCACACCCTGAACAACCTGCAGTTGGTGCTGGTGATTTCCCAACCTGGTTAAAAGCAGCTGCGTTGTAGTCCGGCCAAAAAGTTTTCACATGTTAATTGCTGCAAATTAACCAGCAAGTGCCCAAAGGAGGCGCTAACGGGTCACGGCAAAGTGGACAATGGCTCGCAGCAATTACAGCTATCCCAAAGCCAAGTTTGTTGCGCTTGTCTCAGCAATGACTGGGCAAGCAGGCCGAAGATGAGGAAAGAGAGTCGCGCACCTCCCAATCCTTATTCACTTCCCTCCAAAAGAGGTGAGAAACACACAATGTCCCGATTCCAACAAAGAGAAAATGGAATATTCCTGGCTCTGTATTCTGGATCGTTTCCTATCTTGCCTGTTTCACTAATTGCTCCTCTTTTCAGATAGTACGGAAGTATCAGGGCTCAGTGGTATTCTGTTCTAGGTATTGGCAGGCCCGTAGCCACGATTTTGTTTTGTTTTGTGGGGCGTGCTTTTTTCTTGTGGGGCAACTATTACGAGGGAGTGACGGGCTTTGTAAAAATAATATGTTCTATCTATGGATATATGTACCAGTATGACTGCAGCATGTGATCAGGTAGCTAGGATACACATAAAGGTAAAGGTTTCCCTTGCTCAAAAGCCAATCGAATCCGACTCTAGGGGGCGGTGCTCGTCTCTGTTTCCAAGCCGAAGAGCCAGCGCTGTCCGAAGAATTCCCCGTGGTCATGTGGCAGGCATGACTAAACGCCGAGGTGCATGGAATGCTGTTCCCTTCCCACCAAAGCGGTACCTATTTACCTACTTGCGATTCCTTGCTTTCGAACTCCTAGGTTGGCAGGAGCTGGAACTAGAGACGGGAGCTCACTCCGTTATGCGGCACTCGAGTCTCAAACTGCCGAGCTACCAACCTTCCAGTCTGCAGCCCAGCGTCTTAACCTCTGAGCCACCACCGCCCCTCAGGTTATACATAAATAACCTGCAAATATGCTGAAGCATGCCAGGCTGTATGTTGCCGTGGCGTTCTGTTTCACGCCCCCCCCCTTCATATCCACCGGCTCAGCACCCCGTCCCCCTCCCAGCCCTTCCCAAGGTCGATGCACTAGTCTACTGCTTAAGAATCAAAACCCGATGAATCCTCCCTACCCTCCAAGCAACCAAACCATCCGTTTCCTTCCCCATACCAATCCCCACCCATGCCTCTTGTGGGGCAGGGCTGTGAATTAAGAAGAACATCAGAAAGGCTGTGAATTCAGAAGAACATCAGAAGAGCCCTGCAAGATCAGACCAGTGAGGGTCCATCTCGTCCAGCATCCTGTCTCGTGCAGTGGCCCACCAGTTCCTCTGGATAGCCGCGAACAGGGCACAGAGGCCGAGGCCTCCTCTTGATGTTGACTCCTGCCTCTGAGATCCAGAAGCTTAGTGCCTCTGAAGTTGGAGGTTCCCCTCAGCCACCACGGCTAGTAGCCACTGATAGACTTATCTTCCATGATTCTATCTCGTCCCCTTTTAAAGCTGTTTATTCCTGTGGCCGTCGCTACATCTTCTGGCAGCGAATCCCACGTTCTTTCTGCTTCTAGCAGAAACCAGCTAGACATCTCTGGGAAACTCCCAAGCAGAGAGTGTGAAGGCCACAACCCCCTCCTGTAGTTTGTGCTCTGCATCTGGTGTCCAATGGTAGACTTCTTCTGAATATGGAGGCTCCATTTCGCAATCAGAGCTGGTAGCTCTGGACAGACGGTGACTTTGGTTCAATCCAAAACACCCAGCGTGACGGGCTTGTGTGATCCAAGCCAGAGGGATGGGGTGAGATCCGAAGCGAAGTTTCTCTTCGATATCTGATCACCCCCCTGAGTGGGGACGCTCGGTTTCAGTGCACAATTTGCTAGGCCTTCCCTCCCCCTCCGGCAGCAACCCAAACTTCTCTGACTTTGAGTGTAACCTTTACGAAAAATGCTATTATGCAAGCAGCTGCCCAAGCATAACACGGGGGATCCAGGAGAATGCAGGTTTATTGGTTAAAAAAATCCCAAGATGCCCATGGGGAAAGACAAACAAAGGGCAGCCGGCTGGAAATTATCTATCTGGAGAAACACCAGAATGCTCCGAGCTGTTACGTTTCTTACATTTAACAAATACCTCTTTCGAAGCCTTGATCCCGGCTTCGCTTCTCAGTTCCCCCAAGCCAGTGAAAACAAAGTGTAACCTTGAACCTCACCTTCAGCTCCTCTGAGCCTTCTGCCGGGCATGTTTTTAACCTGCTTTTCCCTCCAAGGAGTGAGAGGCGTTTCCCACAGTTCTCTCTTTCCCATTTTATCTTCACGACAACCTTGTAAAGTAGATGGAGACTGAGCGAGAGCGACTGGCCCGAGGTCACTATCTTCACGACAACCCTGTGAGGTAGATGGAGACTGAGCCGAGAGCGACTGGCCTGAGGTTACCAGGGCAGAGTGGGGGTTCGAACCCAGCTCACCCATGCCCTAGGGCAACATTCCAAATGCTGCACCACCCAGGGCCTCCCAAACAGTGCTTTACACATATATGCACAGAAGAAGAAGAAGAGATTGGGTTTATACCCCGCCCTTCACTACCCGAAGGAGTCTCAGAGCGGCTTACAATCTTCTTCCTTTCCCCTCCCCACAACAGACACCCTGTGAGGCGGGTGGGGCTGAGAGAGCTCTTAGAGAACTGCCCTTGAGAGAAAAGCTCTGAGATAACTTGTGACTGACCCAAGGTCACACCAGCAGCTGCATGCGGAGGAAAAGTGGGGAATCAAACCCGGTTCTCCCAGATTAGAGTGCACACTCCTAACCACTACACTAAACTGGCTCTCAAGGGCCTGATTCCCCCCTCCCTTACAAAGAAGAAGGGAAAAAAAGCTTGGGAGATCTAAATACAGAATTCTTGGCCTCTAGCCTAGTTGAACCCTGACTCCAAAGGTGCAAGAATCAATTGCATCCATATCGAGGGATGCTGTCAAGGGCAATAAGTAGGTGCCTATCACAGCTTTCAGTTCTGCCCATGCTCATTTCCCCCTCTCCATCTCAATGACGGTCTTTCCTCTCTCTAGTGCATTTTAATTCCACCTTTCTGCCACAACAGCTCAGAGAAATGCATTTTTCCTTATATTACCCCTACACCAAACCTGCGAGTTAAGTTCACCTGAGAGTACAAAAGCGCCACGGCACGGCAGGCATTCGAACCCAGGCCCAGCACAGCACAGCACTCCAACCACTAAGCCAAACGGCTCACACGTCAACGCTTTTAATTTAGAAAAGAGCACAGCAAGTACAAGGTGCGCCCTGCCTTTAAGGCGCTTCATTCCTCTTCTTCAAATACGAGAAATCCGAGCTTTGGGGGAGAAAAATGTAATTTCCTCACCCGGGTAGCATCAAAGACAAGGCTGAAAGTGTTAAGGTCGGGAACAGGCTACAAGTTCAGAGCGAGATGCATAAATTCATTACATTCACTGTCAGAACATTCTCAGTTCGGGCTGATTTGAGAGTCTTCCATACCTGGTGAGCGGGCGCTTGTCCAATTACGGCTTCGTATGGAGGGGGCAGCTCAGCTGGGTAGACAATCCCGGGGCTGTTAATGGCAACCTCGTACAAAGTGCTGAAGGGCGAGTGAGGAAAGTCCAGGTGGAGCCCTCTAAAAAGGTAATAATAATGAAAGTCACAATTAGTAGGAATCCATAAAGCCGCCGATAACGAATTTAACAGAACAAAACGTCGCGCATTTGCTTTACGGCAAAGCCAAGTATGTCATGTTAGCGTGCTGCTGTCCTTAAAAACAGGATAAAGCTTAATTTTTTTGTTGGTTTGAGTGTTCAATCTGAATGCCCCCCCATTCTGATTTCGTTGTTCCCTTGTGGGAAATCAGGCCATAAGATTTCATTTTTGCACTGCTCTCCGTTTCCTTGCGGCGATTTTTTCCTCCCCGCCAAAAACCATATGCAAATCTTTAAACGTTCTTTGCATGTCAATTGCCTACAGACGGCGCAAAAATCGCACACAGGGAACTCCAAAAGGAACAATGGCAATGCAAAATCCAGCAGAGGGAATTTACAGAAGCCGACAGAGACAAAAAATACCAATTTACAGAAGCCGACAGAGACAAAAAAAATGTCACATTGGGTCATCCTTATTTATAAAGCAACACCGCCTACGGCTCTTATCCCAGGTGGGAAGAGCCCTTCTGAAAGTTCCAAACGGTCAGCGCCAAGGAGACAAGGAAACACTGGATTAGCATCATCTTATTCCAATCTGATACATGAGCAAGAATGTGCAGGTTAAAGAGAATCACCTTTGTGCTTCTATCACGGGGGTGCAGGTGTATTCAGGTGGGTAGTAGGGGGGAGGTGGAATAGGAGGGATAAACTCGTCAAAATCCAGGGTCTGGTGCCGGATTGTTCCGTGGGACGTCATGCAGTCGGTGTTGGTTGACTGCAGCCTCTGTGGCATGAACTGGGTAACAGAAACGAGAGAGAGATCACGGATGGGTTAGAAGCATTCCCCGGTGGGTTCCGGAAAGTTTCCGAACAGCAGCCGAACGAGTATTTGCCATAAGACAAAAACGAAAGGGGAAACGTTATTTCCAGGATCATTCTGGTACAAACGAAGGGAAACAAAAGCCCAGTGGCACCTTCAGGACTACCAGTATTTGTTTCAGTGTGAGTTCTCAGCTCGTTTCCTTGGGGATTATTGCAGTCAAAAAATAACTTAATAATGTTACAGTAACGTTATGAGAAAACAAGACTCAGTGGAAAAGACAATAATGCTAGGAAAAGTTTAAGGCGGCAGGGAAAGAAGCTGCAACATGAGATGGATGGACTCCCTCTATGAAGCCACAAAGGCCTTCGGTTTGCAAGACCCACACAAGGCTGTTAATGACAGGACCTTTTGGAGAATGTTAATTCATAGGGTCACTATTAAGTCAGAAATGACTAGATGGGACTTAAAATCTAAAACATACATACACACACCAAAAATTATCAGAGTCACAGGGCTGCATGCAATACCTTCGATTACAAAGATAAACAAGATGGTTAGCTGTGTTAGTCTGTCTGTAGCAGTAGACTAGGTCCAGGAGCACCTTAAAGACTAAAAGAATACGTGGCAGGGTTTGAGCTTTCGTGAGTCACTGCTCACTTCTTCAGATCTCACTGCTCACTTCTTCAGATATCACTGCTCACTTCTTCAGATATCTGAAGAAGTGAGCCGTTTGACCCACGAAAGCTCAAACCCTGCCACATATTTTGTTAGTCTTTAAGGTGCTCCTGGACTCTTGCTGTTTTCTAAAGATACGCAAGGAAGGGGAGAATGTTACTGGACAATCGAGCCACAGATTCTCAATTGACTAATAAGGTAAAGGTAAAGGTTTCCCTTGCTCGAAAGCCAGTCGAATCTGACTCTAGGGATGCGGTGCTCATCTCAGCCGAAGAGCCGGCACTGTCTGAAGACATTTCCGTGGTCATGTGGCCGGCGTGACAAGACCCCGAGGTGCACGGAACGCTGTTACCTTCCCACCGAAGCGGTACCTATTTATCTACTTGCAATGTCTTCCTTTCGAACTGCTAGGTTGGCAGGAGCTGGGGCCAGAGACTGGAGCTCACTCCGTCACATGGCACTCGGGTCTAGAACTGCTGAACTACCGACCTTCCGGTCTGCAGTTTGGCATCTTAACCACTTGACAACCTCAAGGTTAGGAGAGTGAGATCCATCAGGAAAGGGTCTCCAGTCTACTCTTCCCCCAGGAACAGCCCTTTGGGGAACTTTGGGGAACTGAGGGGGCTGCCATGCGGGGAGGGGGCGGCAGGGAATTCTAGTTACCCACCAGAAATCCGATACATTTATTCCTTACATCTTTGCACACCATCTAGCTGGAAACAAAAAGGCATTGTCTCACACATCTCTGCAGGTCTCTCTCGATACCTGACCAGGGCCTTGACACAGCAAATTAAAGCCGATCGGCTAAAAAAACCCCTAGACTATTTGCCTTTATCTCTCAACTTGCTCATTTTCCATTATCTTGCGGCGCGTTAACTTGGCTTACTTTGTTCTCTGGTCCTCCAGAGAACATGGCCCCAAGGTCTTTCTGAGTGCATTCCCCATCCTGCTGGGATTTCCACTTGAGCTCTGCGCTGAGTATCCCCTTATCATACAGCTCCTGGGCGCTGACACAGAAACCTTAAATTATACCAAGGCATGAACACGGGAATGCTTTTTTAAAAATGGGGTGGTGGAGGTCACTGATACCTTCTTTCTGGGAAAATTATGTGCCACTGTTCAAAAGAAGATCTACTATAAGATCAAGCTGGAATGAGGAGGAAGAACTTCCATCCTGCAGCCAATGATTGCATTACTCTTTCCAGCTCAGTGAAATTAAATCACTAGCAAATACTGTGCATCAGGCTTGTACGTTAAAAGGATATACCGCGTTACATCTTTACTGTTTTTGCAACCGGAGTCATAAACAGCAAGCCCTCATCCCACAATAAACCTCGTTCCACAGGAAAACACGGAAGAATTTAAAGGTCGCTACTGCAAAAGTTGTCATGTGATTTGACAACAGCTGCTAGAAGCTTTGCCACACGCAGGGGAGTTTGTTTGTCTTTGTCTCTAAGTAACCAGGACGATTTTGCTTCTGGAGAGAGGAGGTCCTGATTAAATAAAGGGGAGATCGGTTCATCTCTTAGAAGCTGAAAATTTGGGGCAATCAATACCACATTACAGATACCAGCAGAACAATCTTGGTGGAAATTATCAAGCAAACAAAACACCGGCTTGCAGAAAGTTAGAAGATACTCGGGCAGAGCAGAATTCTCATGATCTGTTTTTCCAGCTCAACATGTGGGTATTTGACTCACAGCCTGGCCTCCTTTCTGACTTGCCGAGTTGAAGAGGTTCTCAGTCTTGCCGTGCATCCCACGGCAAGAACCACGGAAGAAACCATGGACTAGTTGGAAGGAGTGGGAAAACTGGGAACCAGTGAAGGCTGGGAGGGAGGAGGACTAGATTGTATAAAGAGATGGAAGTCTTGGGTTTCATCCTCGGTAGGGTTTTGGAATGTGTGTTACAGGAATAAGACGTTAGCCCACATCCATACATAAACCAGAACTGCCTTCAGGGATGTAGGCCATAACTCAAGAGCCTTCTGGATCAGACCGATAATGTATCTAATTCCACCAGCCTGTTAACGATTGTGCCTAATCCAGTATACGGCATCTGAACAAGGCAGGTTAATTTAGCTAACGTTGCTAATCTCAGTGGATAGGTAAAGGTTTCCCTTGCTCGAAAGCCAGTCGAATCCGACTCTACGGTCGCGGTGCTTATCTCCGTTTCCAAGCCGAAGAGCCAGCGCTGTCCAAAGATGTTTCCATGGATATGTGGCTGGCATGACTGGATGCCGAGGCACACAGAATACTGTTACCTTCCCACCGAAGTGCTACCTATTTATCTACTTGCAATTTCTTGCTTTCGAACTGCTAGGTTGGCAGGAGCTGGGGCCAGAGACGGGAGCTCACTCCGTCACGCAGCACTCAGGTCTCGAACTGCCAAACTACCGACCTTCTGGTCTGCAGTTCAGTGTCTTAACCACTGAGCCACCATGGCTTCTCTTATGTTCTTATGTCTGGGGCAGTGATGCTCTGTATTCCTGATGCTTGGGGGGCAACTGTGGGAGGGCTTCTGGCGTTCCGGCCCCGCTGGTGGATACCCCTGCTGGATCTGTCCCACATTGATTCTCCAACATTGGCTGGCCAGATGACTCTGGGACATTCACAGGGCAGCATACAAACCCTCCCCAATACCAGCATCTGGTATGGAGGTATACTGCCTCGGAACATGGAGGTTCTATTCTGTTCTCACGCCTATTAGGTCACTCATAGACTTATCCCCTCTGGATGTATGCAGCCCTTACTTAAAGTCAACTAAAACAGTGTGGTCCTCAGCCCATCATGTGGCAGTGAGTTCCGTAAGTTAACTAGGCACTGGTGTGGGACGATATTTCCGTTTGTCTATTCTGAACCTGCTGCATTGCAAACTGCTGATATTATTTATCCCCATAAATAATTCATGGCTTTAGCTCAGGATTGTATTTCTTAATGCGGATGAGAGAAAACCCCAATGGGGAAACAGGTCCTCCCGTGGCGGCTATGCAAACCTTCCTTAAACACGTTTAAGACATTGGTGAGCATTCTGTGTCAACGCTCAAAGCCCCCGGTGTGCCGCCCTGCCATAAATGTTTCGTTCGACACCTTTCCGAAATCTGTGACCCTCCATATAAAAGGTTAGTAGCGGCCTTGACAGCTTTTGGTGGATTTATACCGCTGGAGAAAAGGTTTTGCGGTACATGGAATTAAAATAGAAGATCACCTGGATCTTGTCAACGAAGCATTAACTGTGTATGCTAAAAAACCTGGAGCAGGTGTTCGAGTATCCTAAATGAAAAGGAAGAATTAAAAACACAGACCTGATTTATGACCGGCTTGAGCTGCAACAAGAGTTTTCAGGACTTAGAAAGGATTTATGAATCCCCGGTGGACGGTCTGCATTCTACTCAATTTCACCCTCTCGCCCTGGATGAGCTAGAAGGGAATCCCTGGCAAGTGGTCAATCCAATTCAGAAGCGTAGGCGGCTGTGAAGACGAAACTGGGAGCCATCTTTCCTTTCTGCCAACCTCAGCCGTGCCAGCAGAAACGAGGCTCAGTGGCAGAGCATCTCATTAAACTAATTATCATATGGCAGTGGGTGTAGTATAGTCAGGAGATCTGAAGATTGTCTGGCAGCCTGAAGCTCTAGCTCTTTTTGAGGCAAGCTAGGTTTATTTTGGGGGGCTGAGAGAACTGTGACTGACCCAAGGTCACCCAGCTGGCTTCAAGTGGACAAGTGGGGAATCGAACCTGGCTCTCCACATTAGAGTCCACCTCTCTTAACCACTATACCGAACTGGCTCTCGGTAGAGCATCTGCTTTGTGCACAGAGGATATTCAGGTTCGATCCTGGGAACAGCCAGTTTGAGAGTGAGTTTGAGAGTGAGAGCCAGTTTGGTGTAGTGGTTAAGTGTGGGGACTCTAATCTGGGAGTACCGGGTTTGATTCCCCACTCCTCCACTTGCACCTGGCTGGATGACCTTGGGCAAGCCATAGTTCTGATAAGAGCTGTTCTTGAAAAAGAGCCGTTTCTGTCAGAGCTCTCTCAGCCCCACCTACCTCACGGGGTGTCTGTTGTGGGGAGGGGAAGGGAGAGGAGTTTGTAAGCCACTCTGAGACACCTTTGGGTAGTGAAGGGCGGGGTATAAATCCAATCTCTTCTTCTTCATCATCATCAGTTAAAAGGCTCGGGGGATGTGAAAGACCTCGACCTGAGACCCCGGAGAGACGCTGCCAGTCAGAGTAGAGCAGGGGTCATTTCCTGCAGGAGCGCTCAGGAGTGGAGCTCCGGCAGTAAAGAGCCCAGGGGGCGG